TTCGATCAAAGCATAATCCTGAGTCTGCTAGGATGACTCATCTTCGAACTTGTACACCGCCTCGAAGAGCTTTGGTCCGCAGTCACAAGTCACTCCGTCATAGAAATGAAAGAATGCGTCAGCTCACACTTTTAGATAGACTTGTACTCGGCCTCAATTGTAGTGTTTCTCAAGGAGACGATGAAATTCATATAAAGCAACTTCATGCTGAAGATCTAAACATCTTAACTCAAAGGATCAATCGCACTGGCTTCCTAATTACTTCACTTGCTTTACGCACAACTGCCAATAATGATGCAGAATACAATATTGTTCTCACTTATTCTCCAAAGATGGAAGCAGAAGCCAAACGGGCAGCTAGGAAACTTAGATCTCTAGGAACCATCGGCTCTAGTCGATTTGCCTCTAACGATCTCTCTCTCAATTTCGGCAATGAGCCAGGTGATGATGGTGATGGGGAAGACGATGAGTATGGTTTAGATGTGGATTTCGAATTGGATAAAGAAGTTGGTGAGCTTCACTGCAAAACCTCTAAGCAGCACTCATTTAGCTCAGGCAATAAGCACAATAAATTTCGCGAAGATGAATCAGACATTGCTAAACCTGGTAAAGATCCTTCTCTTGGCGTTAGGTCTAGCTTATCCATGCTTGAGCAATTTCATAAAGGTTGCTTATCTAGACCTGTTAGGTCTCTAGTGAACTGTTCTACCAGCCTTGAGAATACTGGTTACGCCAGTGATACGATATCGGAAATTATTTCCCGTCAGGAGATCTTTTTAACTGAATTCAACAAAAAACCCTCTTTTTCCGATGATAGTAATTTTGATCGAGACGAAAACTGCCATCTAAGACCGTTTTCTTCAGTGCTCTTTAAAAATAATAGATCCAAAGGAGCGTTGAGTCAGTGGCTTTTTTCAACTCATAATTCATCCTCAATTCATAAACCTCGTTCAGTACACAACTGTGATTCTGACAATTCTGATGATGCCGACACACTTGCGCCTATCTATCATTCTATGTCCTCAGGTCAGCAGGCGGAACTTACTCGGTCGAGGACCATTCGAAATCCTTTTAATAAAGTGAAAAAGTCAGTTTCATCAGCATTTATGTTGTTTTTACAAGAAAAACAAATTCGAGGAGTGACTCCAAGACAGCTGCCCGGTGGCACCACTGCTAAGCGGCCTAGGAATTCTGATATCGGGGATTCTGGTGAAGACATTCAAGTGGGTAATATATCTCCTCATACAACTCCAATGCCAATTGCATGCGGTGGCGCTCTATCTGCGCCTAATCAGCTCCATGTTAATCGCAAAAACCTCTGCGATAACGAGATGCTTGGGGCTGGGTTTGTACCAGCTACCCAGACTATTCAGCTAAGTGCCTCTTCTTTTCGACGTCATAGCCCCCGTAAGTTGATTCGTAAAGTGTATACTGGAAGCTCAACTATTCCAAAGATTTTGAACCGCAAGCGGCCCGGCCCCTCTATTACATCTTCACAATCACAACAACCTTCTTCAAACTCTTCTGGGCCGTCAGTATCTTTAGTTCATCACGTCACCGCCCCTTCAATGCAACCTTCGGCATTACCCCCCCCTGCTCCCGCATCTACTCCGCTCATAAATGTTTCGCTTACCTCCGGAATTTCAAATAGCTCTGGTTCTACTGTCTTCTTATCCGGCCCAGTTGCCCCGTCCATCACTGAGTCATCTACGAGTGCACAACATCAAACTTCGATCACTTCTTCACCGACAATCGTTAATGTCTCAGCTAGGCCCCAAAATTCAGGCTCAGCTACTGCTCAAATTGTTGTCACTCAAGTTGCTGCTCCTACAAGCTCCCATTCAA